ATTTATATTGTTTTTTTTTACATTGTTGGAGAGCAATTATATTATTGTCACTTCATTGTCCAAATAAAAGAATTTAATGATTATATTATTTAATGGGCTTTGAAGCTTTAAATATATAACTTCAAGAGTGTTCATTGTCTAAGGAGTTTTATAATTGATCCTAACATTCTTTCTTTTTCATACTGTTGATAGTTATTATACTTAATATTCAGTTTTTGTAAAGTGTGAAACTAGATTTATCTTCTCTAGATGAGGTTTGTGAAGTTCAAAAGGTTAAACCATGGATTTAAAAGTTTTGTGATGGGTTTGAGAATCTTTGTAGCACATGTAATTTTCACTTTTTACTCTATGATAATTTATAATAGGATAACCATGGAATGGAACTTTGGAATAAATTAATTGCAAGATTAACTTTTATGACCATTGCTATAATGAGTAACACCAAGTGTTTTATCGACTTGTAGAACAATGAGTTAAACAGCTGAACAAGTTCTAGAATGGTGACAAACAATACAACACATATCCATCAAAGTTATAATCTCATGACAACAACTCTATTTCACTAACAATCCACAACATTTTTAATTTATTAGGATGTGGGATATATAAAGAAAGGCTAAAGCACTAATGAGATTTTATTTCATTTTCAATCTAGGTAGAAATTCCTTTTATTTTGCTAAGAGTATGACTTTTAGCAGTCTCTCCAAGTTGCTAAACCTCTCATTGACAATAAAAAGCATTATATAAGCTATGTCTTGGCTATCTTAAATTATTATTTTGAAGATTTAGTTATGCCTTTCATGAAAGAAACCTAGATTCTGGAGGTAAAGGAATTTTTCTTCCTGGGTTTGTTGTCTTACAATATTTGCTAATCTTCAGAATTTTAAAAAAGTAAATTGGGTCTTTACCTAACTAAAAGATATAAATCCCAAACTTCAACTACTTTAATCTCATTGATTTTTTTCATTATAAATGGAAAAGTTTGTAGTCACTTGACATCTTGAGAAACAAACTTGATAATAAGGTGAAAGAATTCTACAAACTATTCTTTTCTAATCACTCTGTTTTTATAAATATTGGCTATTATTTAAGTATGAAGCTTTAATTTTTAATGTTGATATGATCATATCTGATTTTTTCGTATAAGAAAACTTACTAAAGCTGTCATTCAAGAACTAGCTCTCATCACTTGGACTTAGTATATAAATAAAGATCTTTGATGCTGTAAGTAAAGCGCTCATCAATAGTAACATGAAACTATTAGTTAATCTTTCTAGAAATGCAAAAGAACTTACAAAACAAATTACCATTAATCTTTTATAAAAGAAATCTAGTAAACTTGTCTTTTTGTAAGTGGAGTTTCTAAAGTATTATAGTGCTTAGAACAAGTTTTTCCTAGGAGTGCAAATGTGTTTTTATAAAATTCAAATAAAGAACATTCTTTACAGCATAGATATATAGTGTAAAATTATTGTGGTGGTGACAAGAAATTTCCTGTTTAGAACAAAAATCATGCTCTCGATGAGTTATAAGCTAACAATAATAATTGCAAACTTGAATAAATTTCAGAAAGTAAGTTGCAATGTGGTATCCAGTGCAGGATAATGCCAGCCAACATAAACTGCATGGAGTAACGGGTAGGAGTTGCCAGAGGCTAGCCTTTGAGGTGCTAAAAACCCCCCGTTTTGCGTCCTCCTAATAAAACTTTTGACAGTCCGCCAAAGCTTTTTAGTTTGTTTTTTATTCCTAACTTCAAGATCTTTAAAATCTAATAGGAACTAATGTGTATTTCTATGTGTAGTTTCTACTACCTCTTTACCATCAATTCTTGAAGCTATTGTCTTGACTCTTGAGTTAAAGATGAAAAGAGGACAAATCTTAAACATTAAATGACTCAAGTTTCAAAGACATTGGAAAAAGCTCTTTAGTTTCTGCATAGGTTGTTAATGTAGTGCTAAATTTTTGTAAGGATGGATTCTAGGGGCATAAATCATGAGGAACAAACTTGCAAAGATATAATATATGAAGTCATTGATGCTGAACAAAGATGTGTTTGGTATTGTGAAGAGAAATTAACATTTGTCAAGGGGCTGGAAAGTTCTTCTAGGAGAGGAGTATGGAAAAGGAGCTAAATTGCTCTAAATTTTCCAAATATTTTTTTAAGTTATAGAAAGTTGTGATAACATTGGTTACTTGATTATATTTGTTTTAGAAAATAAAACCCTTTGTCAACAATCCTTTACATAAGCTCATAGTTATAGCATTGTTTTGTGTGTCTTCTTGCTCCTTAGCATGTGCACAACAATTTTAATTGTGGTCCTTCTATAGCTTCTTTGAAAAATTCTTATATTTTATACATTTCTAAAAGGTGTTATATTTTTTTCTTCCTTGCTCTTTTAGGCACTTATTGATAGACTACAATGATCAACCAAGAAATTCTTCCAAGTCAAAAGACATCTTTATATACATATTGTGATGTAGTATTATAAGTTAGAGTTATAGAGCCCTTATTTATTAATGCAATAGTATGTAATTCAAGACAAGAACTCTCCTTTTTTTTGGGTGAGCTTGTTTTTAATTTTATTTATCTACTGTATCAGTAGTGCTCTAATTGGACATGATTAGTAATGTCAGTATTATATTTAATTTGTTTTTAAAATTGTCTCAAGTTCAAGAATGTCACATTAAATGCATGTCAAAGACGGAGGGAGCAAGAAGACTAGAAACAAACTTGCAAAATCTTTATACACAATCTTATTATTCACCATAAACAAATTATAAATAGTATAGATAAACTTGATTGACAATCTTTAAAAATTACTAGCATGTTTTTAACAAGTCTTTCACTTCATCACATGAAAGAATTTACGAATACTTATAATATTATTTTTAATTAAAACATCTTTGAATCCTAATTTTTATTAATCCATTCCTTGCTAGTGATATATATATATATATATATATATATATATATATATATATATATATATATATATATATATATATATTCGTTACAACATACTAATAGTATTATTAACAAATATTCATATAAATAATTTTTCCTATTATTTTAGTTGATTCAAAACTAATATTAAACCAGAGTTAAGAAAATTAACTATATTTAACTTTAATTTTAAAATAATTTTAATAGTTTTAATCTGGAAGACAACTTCTAGATTTTCTTGTATACACAAATTCTAAAACAATAAAGTAGAGTTATTCTAACAACCTTATAATTTCTTGAGCTTCCACTCTTTTGATGGCTGCTTCCGCCTGGATTGCAACACATTAGTAACAGAAAAAAGAAAAAAACAAGTAATACCATCTGTGTCCAGTTTGTCAAAACAGAAATAAACAAGAGAAATGCCGCCTGAAGGGTGACTCCACACAGGAGACCAATCAAAAACCCCTGTACCAAAGATAAACGTCCACACAATTATATACGCTTGATCAGCCCAATAAGTTTACCTTTCCCAGGAGTCCAAAGTGGAATGCCAGAGTGCATCCCAATGGCAGTCCAACCGCGTAATAGGCCCCCAGGTTTACAAATGCAGCGAGTGCTTGCCAGCCACATCCCCTTGCTACTCCTGAAGAACATAGAAGGCCCCAAGAAAACTTCGAAAAATTGAAATGCTTCAAAGGTACCTGAGGTGACGCCTTGCAATGCGTCCATGACGATAACAGCAGCAAGCAGAGGAACCATTTCGGCAACCTCTGCCACCACCTCTGCTTCGTTACTGTAGGCTTTCCCGAGAACGTTGCGCAACGAGACGATTATTAGCGAGATAATAACTGCATCCATCACTGCAAGTCCCATGGATACGAGAAATGCAAAGCGAGCTGGAGCAGCACGCCCAGCCCCGAGTTCGTTGGCAACTCTTGTGCTGCAGACGATATGAATGTTCTCCTTAGAATATAAACGAGGGGCTTTGTTTACAAGTACCTTGTCGCAGCACCTATGCCACTGGGAATCATATAGCATGTCGCGATCGTGTTCAGGCTGTCAAAAAGCCACATAATAAACAAGAAGGAAAGAAAGAGACATCACTCACATGATTGAAAACACGGATGCGTCCAGCTGCGGATTTGGCAGTAGCCCGGACAGGAGGACCAGAGCTTCAAATGACCACCACTCAAAGCTACAGCACAACAAAAGAAATATCAGTCCGGGTCATTTGAAAAAAGTAGACTTACCAGACCATGACTGCCGACGGGATGGCGAGCTTGAGAAACTCGATGAAGCCCTCGAAAGCCTGCGCGGAGAATCCATGCCAGCACTCTCTGGCCGAAGGCGTCATTACAACAACAGCCACCAGGAGAACAGCATTAAGCCAGTAAGAGAAGCTTACGGTCACTGCTGCTCCGGTGTTTCCCATTCCCAACTTGAAGATGAAGAGCCAGCAGAGCAGCGCGTGGACGATGGATGCCGCCGCCGAGCACAGAAACATGGGAAGGACTTTGCTCTGCGACTGCAAAAACTTCACCAGCGGCTGAAGAAAAGCCAGTGCGAACAAACCAGGGATCATGTACCGAGCATATATCCCAGCTTTCATGGATATATCAGGGTCCTGCTTGAAGAAGACTAGTACGTGCTCCATGTTATACCACATCACCGCGATTGGCAAGCAAACGATGTTGAGGAGGATCATTGCTCTCTGCATGTACACTCCCAGCAAGTGGTACTGCTTGGCACCATAAGCCTGTCCACACAGTGTTTCCAGAGCGCTTCCAAGTCCCATCTGAATAAAAAGAGCCCAAAACACTTCGGCTTGGTTGGGGGGAAAAGATGGAAACAAGCTTACCAGGAGACTGTAGCCAGTGACGACGCAGAAGGAAGAGGCGATGGAAGCGCTGGAAAGCTCGAGCTCCCCTAAATGACCCACGAACATTACGGACACTATAGTCCGGCTGAACTGCACCAGGTTCACACCGATCATCGGGACCGCCAGCCATAGTTGTTTGCCAACTTCAATCTTGAGCTTCGAAGAAGCAAGCGCATCCCCTTTGGTACCCATTCCGGAGCGAGAGCGAGAGAGAGAGAGAGAGAGAGAAGAGGCGGCTGCGTTTGTTCTTCTTCCCTGAAAAACAAGAGTTTCGTGTCAGCACGAGTTAAAAAGTACAGTTAAAAACCTTACCTTCCGGAGCTAGTTGTTTATAGAAAGACTACTTCTGGAAACCTGGAAAACTTTCTCTGCCACTTGCTTGGCTCGAGCATCGTCGCTATGGATCTTACAAGCTCCCAAAACACTCATCCACGAGACGATATCGCCACCCTTCGGCGCATTCTTGGCGGCATGCTCGGCCTCCGCCAGCCATCCCAGCCTCCCAAACAGATCCACCATGCAGCCATAGTGCTCGGCAACCGGCCTCACACCGTGGTCGCTTTCCATGGCGACGAACTGGACGTAAGCTTCGTCAAACCGGCCTGCATGGCTGCAAGCGTAGAGAATGCTGACGAAAGTCGCTTCGTTGGGCTTGATGCCGTGGAGGACCATCTCCCTCCCGAGATCAAACGCTTCCGCTGCGCTGCCTTGATGGTTCTGGGTGTACGCGGCCAGCATGCTGTTCCACGAGAACAGGCTCTTTTCTCTCATCGCCGTGAATACCAGCCTTGCATCCTCCACGCTTCCACACTTCCCGTACATGCTAATGAGAGCGTTCCCGACTGGAAGCTCCCACTCTGCCTTGCTCGCTAGAATGTGTTCGTGGATTCTCCTCCCAGCGGTCAAGGCACCCGAATCCGAGCACGCACCGAGCACCGCAACGTAAGTAACCGAGCTCGGCCGCAAGCTCGACGTTGTGGATGACACCATTGTCTCGAACAGTTCAAGTGCTGCTTTCGAGTGGCCGTACCTGGCGTAGGACGTTATCATCGTGTTCCAGGACACAACGTCTTTGGATGGCATCGAGTCTAGGAGCGACCGAGCCTGAGCCAAGTTCCCGCACTTGCCGTGAAGGTTGATCAGTGCGGTTCCCAGTACTCGATCTTGTTTGTGATAGATGTCGACAATCCTCTGGTGCAGCCTTTCACCTTCCGCTAGATCCTCGAGAGTAGAACAGGCACCGATGACGTTTATAAAGCTGACTTCATCTTGCTTGATTCCTTTCAGGTCCATATACTTGAAAAGTTGGATGGCTTCGCGTTCCATGTCGTTTTGTGAGTAGGCCTCGATCATAGCATTCCAATGTGTCACTACTGCTCCGTTGGTGCTGTCAAACACCTTTCTCGAATCCATTGGGCGGCCGCATTTTCCATAAGCAAAAACGAGAGCCGTGTCGACGATGTGAGACTGAATCCTCCGCGAAGAAACCTGTGCATGGATCTCCAACACCACCTTGAGCGCGCACAAAGCAGCGGCGGCGTCCAAAAGGCTCACAAAGGTCGCTTCATCGGGAGAAACTCCAGCCTGATTCAGAGCCCAGTAGAGAGCCAGCGCTTGATCTGGAAGCCCGTTCTGGGCATAAGCAGCGAGCATGGAGTTCCAGCCAACAGCGTCTTCCCAGCAAACTTTCTCAAACACACGACGGGCCTCTGCAACTCTTCCACACTTCCCATAAACGCTGATGAGCTGAGTCGCCACCATCACGTCCATTTCTAGCCCGCAGGAGACCACCCGGGCGTGGATTTCTTGAGCTTCTTCGGCATGGCAGCAAGCACCAAGAACGCTCAAGAACGTAAACTTATCCGGCCTATCCATCCGCTGGAAAGTTTCCAACGCTTCCTTGCAATGCCCCTTCTGGCCATACGCTGCGATGAGAGAATTCCACGAGTAGTTATTCGGCTGCTCGATCTCGTCAAACGCGGCCTTGGCAGCTTCCACATCTCCACACTTCCCATACATGGTGACGATCGCTGTGCGCAGGACTACGTCGCAGTGCAAGATCCCCGATCCCAAAATCTGGAGATGGATCGAAATTCCCGTGGCTAGATCCCCAGTCTTGGCGCAAACGCTCAAAATCTCCACAAACACGACCCTGTCCGGCCTCACGCCCTGCAAATTCATCTCCCAAAACAATCGCAGCGCTGTCCTGTAATCCCCATTCTGGCCATACGCCGCGATCATCAGGGTCCACGAGACGACGTTCTTGGCAGCGATGGCGTCGAAGCAGCGCCGGGCGTCGTCGATTGATCGGCACTTGCCATACGCCTGGACGAGGAGATTGCAGAGGAATACGTCGTCGCGGATGCGTGAGTGGAGCCGCCGGACACGCGAGAGGCTCCCGGCATCGCCATACCTGCGAAGAAGCGCCGCGAGAGAAGCCCTAGAAGTCCCTTGAAGCTCCTGTGCGTTCTTTGTATTCGAGAGAGGCGCTTCCATATATTAATCCCAACCGTAGGATACAACGTGGCACAATCGCAACCGTTGGGCACAACGAACCGGGTTCCTTTATTAGTTTAAACATGAACTAGTAGAATTTTTGGTTACTTGGAAATTCCCGACGATGAATGTATCTGGAGAGGATTGATAGGAACAAACAATGTCTCTGGAAAAAAAGAAAGAACAAGAGTCTAAGAACTCCCTCCACGCACGAAGCAAAAAGAAAACTTGGAAGCTTACCGCGATCCTTTGAGGCCAAATGAAGAGTGTCCAGAGTGATGATCCCATCGGCGAGCGGGAGCAAATCGCACTTCACAACCGTGGTTGAATGCGCAGGAAGTCGCCTGTATCAAAAGCTCACTCTCGTGAGACAAAGAATCCAAAGAGAAACACGAGATAAGCTTGAAAGACCATCGAGAGAAACTTACCCGAGTGGAACAGTACTTTGCAGCCACAAATGAGTCCTTGCAGGGCTGTTCTCCGCTACTATCTCAGCAGCGGAAACTCTTCTCTCTCTCGTTCTCTTTGACGACTCTTCGGCTTCTTTCGCTTGTTCTGCTTCTTTGACCTTCGGTTTTTCTCGTCCAGGAGGCATTGACATGGATCTAAAATTCTTCCGAGCTTTCTCTTGTTCTTCACGGAAGCTGTGCGAGTTCCCTACGGGTGATTTCTTAGCTGCGTTTGTTGTTACTGGAGTCACTGATACTGGTGCGCATGCCAAAGTGCTTGGAGCTAAAAGTGTCAAGTCAAGTTCTCTGGATGTAAGGTTTGTGGCTTGGACTGTCACGACCTGGAGAAAAGTTCCAGTGAAGGCAAATAACTTGAAACTGTCTACCTGTGACTTGAGCTGGGGGAGAGCTTCACTTGGAACTCCAGTTGGCGTGCTGCTCTCCAGCGAGACTGAAACAAGAAGGTCCCTCGCGGGTCGTGGTTTCCACTTCAGCGAGTGTTTCAAATAAAATCTCGAGTCTGGTATCAGATAACAAGTTAATGCTAAGATCGAACGCCATAACTAGAACTTACGAGTGTGACTACAATGACAGGCCACTAGAACTGCATAACTCCCGCCATCAGATGCTTCTTTTGCTTGTCGAGGAGTAGAATAACTCTGTTTGCCAGAACTTTCTACCTTCAGTAGCGAACTCGTGGGTCTCAAAATAAATGAATGTTGTTCTCCGGTTCTGCAAAAAGGAGTATTTCCATGAGAGAGACTAAACAAGTAAAACATTCAAACCTGAGACATAGATTTGGGAGTTTGTCATCTTCGCCAGTTTCCACGCATGAAACAGGAATTGGCTGTGAAACTGCACCGGGGCTAGTCGCTTGGCATATGATACTAATTGAATCAATATAAATACAGACATCGGACATGTCAGAAGGAAGAACGTTCTGCAGGAAAAAAAGGGAGGCAAATGAGAACGAAAGTTCAAACTAAAAACGAACCTCAATAAGGACGCAAATGAGATCTTCGGCGTTGCAATCTGCGGAGTATGAATTGATCCGTAAAGGTTGTACGACGGATATCTTCTTGCACCATCGTTTTCCAGGTACGTAAAGGCCTTCCAATCCACAGTGAGCGGAAAAGCGCTGAGGTTCCAGCGGTACACCCCGGAAAGAGAGCAATCCTTCGCTTCCAACTTCTTCGGAGCCAAGATCTTTCTCCGGATACAGCTTGTTCCATTCCCCTGGAGCAGTGTTTAGTGCAGATGGTGGATACGGTGGAACTGCCGCAGGAGCTGCGGCCGGAGCAACTGGAGGCAAAGAACCAGCCGAAGACGATCTCAAGTGACCGAACGAGAAAAGCGTTGAGTTGGCAGCTCCGAATGAAAGCCTCTGCGTACCAGTGGCAGCGTTTGCTGCCGGGACAGCGGACGATTGCTGCGTCGTGAACGCGTTCCTATCCAGAGGCAGCAGCCAGTGCAAAAGATCCTGCGCTGGATCCAAGTCCTTGGGAATCGTCTTGGAAGCCGACATGGGAGAGCTGTGTTGCTCGTACTGTAGGACCTCGAGGACCGCCTCGTGCGTGATCGAGCGTGGAACCACCACTGTCACTTCCAGCATAACCTGTACCCTGCCATCTTATCAATGAGCAATTTCGAAAAGAATTGAGTCGAAAGTTCGGTGCATACCACAATGTCTCCGTTCGCAAGAGCGCAAGAGGTGATGGCTCGTCTCGCGATTCCTCCAGCTGCAACAGGGTCGAATCCATCTCTTTCCACCACTACTGGAACCACACTCTCAGCTTCGTCGTGCTGGTCGGACTCGTCCACCTTGTTCTCGTTGATAACGCTCACGTAAAAATGGGACCTTTGGAAGCTTTCGAGGAGCTGCGCGCTCTTCTTCTTGTGCCATTCCTCGCGAAGTGATTCGCCGGCATTCGATTCGAGAACTTCGCCGGCGACGGGATTGGCTTTGAGCAAAGCGTTCTTGTTGATCACCGCAGCAACCTTGAAGGGAGTGATAATCTCGGGAACTGTGAGGTCGCGAGAGGAGACCGTGACAAAGACTTTGATTTGTTCACCTGCAAAGCAAAGAATTTCTCAAGCTCTAGCGAAGGAAATCAAGAAACACTCACCAGGAAAAACGAATCCACGATCCAAATGGCTGAGATGCGTCAAATCTGGTGCCGCGCTCCATTCATTCGGAAGCTCCTCTGCAAAGAAAAGTGAGCGAGGATAATCCATGACCATGAACAGCTTACTTCCAGGAACAAGCACGGATCCCTCGTTGCTCGATACATCCGCGTGGCCCTGGACTGGGATCCGCGTCCTCGGCCTCGCTTGCATTGCCTCCTTGAGATCACCCGGAGCCTGGATCTGCTGCTCGAGGCCAAGATTCGTGACGCCGCCGCGAAATTCCTGCTTGGCATCTACCGCAGGCTGCTCCTGCGATGCCTGGAAGGAGCTCCGCAGCAAGAAGCTCATGGCGCTCGCATCTCTCCCCCTCTAAAAACCCTAAAAACCCTTGGAGCTAGGGCAATGGTGGTGAGGCTGAGGCTCGCGAGATTTGGGGGCCGCAATCTCCCATTCTACCGCATCTACGCCGCCGATGCGCGCTCCCCGCGCAACGGGAGGCATGTCGAGGTCCTGGGCTACTACAATCCCTTGCCAGGTACTGGATTTCCGTCTCTGTGAGTGTCTCCAGCGATGATCTTCTCCAGGGCAAGATGGGCTCAAGCGCATTGGGATGAAAATCGATAGGATCAAGTAAGAATGGCGCTAGATTTCTCCAGGGCTCGATCGCTGTTTGGTTTCCAGGTATTGGATCTCGGTTGGAGCGCAGCCCACCGAGATCGTCCAGCATTTGCTGTGGAAAGTGGGGATTTTCCCAGCGCCGCCGCGGCCGCAGCTCATGTCCAAGGACGAGGCCGCCAAGGTTGTCGCGGCGATGAACGAGGCGGACAAGAAGAAGCGGCAATTGCTCCAGGAGAAGCGCGACGCGCGGCGGGAGAGGCTAGCGGCGAGGCTGGGAGACGCTTACAAGAAGAAGGAGAGGCCCAGTTCCTCCTCTCCGGAGGAACAATCCAAGTAGAAGTGGAAAACGCGGTTATGACATTGTGATGAACATAAAAGTGACGTGTCAACTTGTGATTGGATGTTCTGTCTGACATGTGCTAACATGTAAAGGTAAACAAGCTGACGTGTTATTTGCTTACTATGACATGTAAACGGGAAAGGAAGTGACCTTAGGAGCCCTAAAAGTTCTTTCAGCTGAAGCGTGAGGGCGGAAGTGACGCTTCGTCCCAATGCTGGGCGCCCGGCGGCGATGGCGTAGGCGGCAGCGGCAGTGGCAGTGCGGCGATGGCGTAGAGAGCGCGATCTCGTTCCCGCATTCTTCAATCCGGCTGAGGCGCGAGGTACGATGATGCGTAGGGCCCTATGTTGCATCTCGTACGCTGCGAATGCGAGTGTAGCCATGCGCCGGATCTTGTAACTCGACGGGCACAACTAGACGGTGGGCTACATTTAGGATTTCCTCTTTTCTCGAGCTCTCGAGCTCGTTTTCTCCATTAGACATTAGAACGATCATAGTTTTTCTTGCTGAAACTTATGTGTTCTTGGGGTTTTTTCTTTCAGGGAAAACACTCGATGGTCGGGCTGACTTGAAAGGAGCAGCTGGTTTCTACCTTTGGATCCGGGCAGTCTTCAACAGCGTAGGGCGTTCCTGTATGATTCGGAATCCGCTATTTCGGAGGTTTGAGATCAAGGACAATCCTTTGTACCAGGGTAAGCACAACATGCCAGCAGCCCCTTCTCGGTCCGAGCCGGCGGACGTTCGCTCATCTGGTCTGGGATTGTGTGGCTTTGGCTCGGGTCCGTCGTCTCCAAAAGCAGGCAAGAAGAAAAGAGAAAAGTCACCAAAGCGAGACAGGCCCAAGTCACCACCATCGTCTCCAAAGCCTCAGAAAGTCAAGGCTCCAAAGGCTCCAAAGGCCCCGAAGGCCCCGAAGGCTCCAAGGCCACCGGGAAAGCCACGCTTGTGTTGGCCTTTCTTCTCGTCCTCCAAGAAGCCGCGGAAGCAAAAGCAAAAGCAAAAGCCTCCGGAAGTGAAGATCCAGAAGCCTGTAGAAAGTGATAGCAGCAAAGGAAGTAGCAAGGCGAGTAGTAGAGGGAGTAGTAGAGCGAGTAGCCGGCCTCCAAGTCGACCAACGAGTAGACCGACCACTCCAAGTCCTGCGAGGTCCGAGGCGTCGAGTGTGGAGAGTGTGCAGGTCAAGAAGCAAAAGAAACCTGAAATGCCCGAGAAGAAGCCTGAGAAGCCCGAGAAGAAGCCCGAGAAGAAGCCCGAGAAAAAGCCTGAAGTTAAGCTGGAAGTTAAGAAGCCCGAGAAGCCCGTGAAGAAAAAAGTTCCGAAGCAGAAGAAAGCTAAGTCCGGCGGATGGCTTTGCTTTCCTTTATTTTCTCGCAAGCATCCAGCAGGGAAGAAAAGCAAGAAGAAGCGGGGACTCTCCGAGGAAAGGAAGAACGAGTTGAATAAGGCTGTCGAGAGGCACAGGGAGCAATGGTTCCAGCAGAGGGAGGCCAAGGAAGAAGCAAAGAAGGCCAAGGAAGAGCTGGAACATGAAGATAAGAAGAAGCAAAAGGAGAAGGCAAGGAGAGGAAAGTTGACGAGGGAGCAGAAAGAGAAGCTGGAGCTTCAAAAGCGTCAGGAGAAGCCCATAAGTTTCCTGGACTGCTCAATCTGCCACAAGCTGCTCAAGTACGCCGTGGAAATCGACTGCGGGCATGCGTTTTGTCACTCCTGCCTACGGAGAAAGATGAGCCGCTCGAAGCTGTAAGTGTTTCGTTTTTGTTGTCATGTCTTTCTCATGCTTCTTAAACGTCAAAACTTTTTTTTTTTTCAGGTGTCCGGTGTGCATGTCGGAGATCGAGTACGTCCATCCTTCCTATGTGTTGCGAGAACTGGTGGAAAAGTTCGGTTCCAAGGACGGTCCTAAGAAGCTTACAGCCGACCTGTTGCAAGCGTCAAGCTATTATGAGGAACAGGACCCCATTGTTATTGCGTGCCAGTTCGTCGCTGCTGGTGGTAGTAAGTTGCATACTTTTTTCCTTTTATTTCGTTCGTATCTGACTATGGAATTTATCCTGCAGCCTGCTGCTCTGGCACCAACGGAGCGTTTGATCCGGCAGATTTGTATAAGACGTCGAGGCTTGAAGAGTATGTTAGCGACGAGGAGTATCTAGATACAATCAAAATGGTGAATCAGATTCTTTCCAGGTACGTGAAAGTGTTTTTGTTTTTATGGTAAGAACTTCTTTCTTGTGCAGCTGGTCTGGAAGCGCCTTTGCTAACTGTCTTTCGACGATATGTTGTTGTTTGTTTCCTTCACAAGTGTAAGCTTCTCTTTAGCCAGGGACATTGATATATTTTTTTTTGTCGATTTTCTCGCAGGAGGAGGATAGTAAGTATGATCGAAATAGTTCTCGGGGATTGTAATTTGAAATGGCCCGAGACTGGGCTGTTTTGGACACTAATGCGAGTAGACGGCGAGACTAAATCTGTAAGTGTTGATTTTCTTCTCTTTTTTCTCGACGGTGTCATAAAGAGACCATCTTCTCGATTTTTCGTGCAGGCAGGTTCTGTGCAGCAGTTTTACTTAATTTTACGTGTTGATCCCATGAAAGCTCGTGCCTATCAAAATACCTTGAGGGCCGGTATTGTCATCGTCCACCACATCAGAGTCTCACGATAACTTAAAGCAAGGAAGAGAAGTAAACGCAGTAAACGCTCTTTTTTGGATGGATTCTAAGTTACATGCCTGCAGGTGGCCAGAAGAAGGACGTTGAGATTGCTCGTTTGAGAAAGCAGAACGCTCTCATGAGGCACAAGATGCTAGAACTTGGCGAGAACACTTTCATCCGAGCGCTTGTAGGACGAAGAGCATCCAAGTAAGAAAACTTTCTTGCGCAAGACGCAACAACTGGCTTGTTCCCTTAACCCCCCGCAGGTATAGTCTCAAGACACGAGCCAGCTTGAGCTTCGTAGAAGAGTATCCAGGTAATCCAATTCCGATTACAAACACGATATCGACTGGTTTGTGTGTATCTATTACAGACTCGCCCGTGATCTCGGCGCTCACTCTCCGCGATCTGGTTCTCCACAATCCTTTGTCCAAGAGATACTTCGTGCCTCCATGGAACAGGTACTTGATCGAGGATGTTTCCTCCACATTCTAAAACTTTTTTGTGGAGGTCTTACACAGGTTGAGATCCACAAGCACTGGTCCTCTTCCACTAACCAGCGAGGAGGATTACCAGATGCGAAGCCAGCTTACGTCGTTTATAAGCCGATCGCCATCGCCATACTTGGAGAGACGGTCGCGCTCGCCGCCAAATTCCAGAAGGAGCCCGATCTGGGGAGACAAAGGAGTAAGTTCTAAACGACGAAAAAAATCAAGAAGCCCGTATGAAAAAAAACGCAAACGGAAACGAAATCGCCAACCACGTCCAAACTTCTACTATTAACACACAGGCACGCTTTTCTGTTTTTTTTTGTTTCTTTGCTCACAGCTGCCTCCATGGAGATAGCCTCAGGTGACGCTATGATCTTCATGCAGAGAAAGACAAAAGCTAGCGAAAACTGTAAATTTTACGTTAAAGGAAAGGTGGCGCTTAGGGTTTCTGTTTGAATATAAAGCTTTCAGTTAGCTCTGATAATGGCTACTGGATCAAGATTCGATCGTCATTCGAAATTGGTGTGCGGCTTCTTGGCTTTGTATGAAGGAGAAAAGGCTTACGGTTTTGCACGAGATACTTCCATGGCGAGCTGCGAAAGCTTTACGAATCCCTGGGCGACCGCAAGGACTTGCGTGATGCGTTTGAGATTGATGAAAACTCGAAAGGGACAAAGGGAATTAACTCGGCTGGGTCGAGAAGATCACGATCTCTTGGGTCAAAGAGACTTGGGTTGACGATGATCATCTCAAGGTGGCTGTACGGCACTGGTTTGCCTGGTGTTTCCGGACAGTGTGGTGGTGGCAAACGCGAGCGAGTTTCGCTGTGTCATGTCGAGTTCCTGCGGTAGAGTGGAAGAGATCGGGGATTTCCAAGAGGAGCAATCGGCATCTTCCCGGTTTTCCACAAGTGCGATGCTTTCAAGGGTTTTGGGTATTTCCTGTTCAAGCAAAGCTCCAGTTCCATGGACCTTTTGATCAGCACGGTTCCAGACGTGTACGACATCAGCCTCGAGGCTGGGATCGAATGGATTGTGATCGCCTCACAGGCCCAATCCAAGATCCAACCAGGAGGTAGGGGGTCTCTAACATTGCGCAAGAAATGTACTGACTTTATAGAGACTTACCGGCACTTTGTATGGGTCAAGTGTCCACTTGGGGACATGGGCATGACGATGAAAGTTCTGTGACAAACCAACCCATACTAGCAGGGATCTCATTGGCCGTGAGTCAAGGAAATCATGAGGAAAAGATTAGTTGATCATCTGTTTCTGTAGAAGTAATGCCATGGATCAAATTACCTAATTACAATTTAAAATTTATATTGTTTTTAAAATATTAATTTTAACAGAGACTGAGTTGTTATTATTTATACACTCTCACATTATGTATTTTATATTGAAAACTACTTAACTTACTTCTAATTTTGGAATATAGAAATGTATATATCAATTAGCCCAAAAAATCTAGTTTATATACAATTTAAATTGAAACCAATCTAATAGCTATCAAAAATCCACTACACTAATATTAATATATGGCACTATAGTTGTACATTTGGACCTTATATCATTCCCTCCTTTCTGAATGATAGAAAACAGTTAGGGTTTTATAATGGATAGGCCAAAATTTGGAAGAACATCAAGAGGCACCAATGGGTTTATAAGTGGTATTAATTGTTCTTGATTCCTTTGTAAGAAGCATTTTTGCTGTTGATGCATAATTTCTGAAAGGTCAACTTGTTGGATATCATGCCAAACCTCATAAACTTGAGGTTCAACTTGTCGCAACACCCAATATAATCCCTTCCACTAAGCAAAAAACCCTTTAGATAAACCATATACCGTAAGATTAGAAAAATAGATTAATACCAAGTCATTTACTTTATATTCTATAAATGGATAATGATAGGAGTTATAACACTATTGTTGTCCCATTTGTATGTGGCCTAGGTGTTTGGTAGACTCTGCTCAAACAAGTGAAAGAATGCTTGTCAAATATTAATTCTAAGATTTAGCATCGGTAGCTTGTGGCAATTGCAAAGGTAAACTTAATTCCATTAGTAATATTGAATTATAACCATATAGGAGTTTATATGGTGAAGCATTAACAAAACTTTACACCCTTGTGACATACATATACCGAAGAAAAGGCAAATAACCATCCTAATCTAAATGTTGAAAGTCCATATACTTGTAAGGAACCGACTCCCCGAGATGTCGTAGGCTAAAGGATCCCCAAAAGCTTGACCGAAGTGACAAAGAGTTCATCGGATGGGACCAAGTCGAGGATCGAGTCCAAGACCGACTCTAGGACCGAGTTCGAGGTAGAGTCCGGAATCGAATCCGAGACCGACTCGGGGACCGAGTTCGAGTCCGAGTTCGAGACCGAGTTCGAGACGGAGTCCGGATCCGAAATCGGGTCCGAGACCGAGTCCGAGGTCGAGTCCGAGGTCGGGTCCGAGATCGGGTCCGAGATCAAGTCCGTGATCGAGTCCGAACCCGAATCCGAAGTCGGATCCGAAATCGGGTCCGAGATCGAGCCAGAGACTAAGTCCAAATACTAATACGGGTCAAGGGGTGAAAGCCCAAAGCGTGCGTCTCCCAGGGGGGGGGGGGCTGCAGGGGGTTCCAAAAGTATAGTAGGGATAGTGAGGTCCAGGAACCAGTTTAGAAGGGACTCTCCAGTTGGGCTTCCAAACCGACTTGAGGTTGGGACTGGGACCGAGGGGCCTTGGGTGGGAGTGAGCATGGACTTGGCTGGTGCCGGAGGGGCCATCCAAGGAAGTGCTCAAGAGCAGCTCCCACTCCCGAAAGGGAAACCGATTGCGGTGCTCCCGGCTCAGGTGGAGTGGTGCCCCACTTGAGTACCTTGTGGCTCATTGGTCCTCGCCCTTCCGGGGGCTTGGGCCTTTCCTTCGGGATGGAAGAGGGGGGGTAGAGGTACCCATACCGGGCCGTTAGGCCACGGTGTTTCGCCCCGACGTCCCGAAGCAAGTGCTGCACCCAAGGCTTGGGATTTAGAGGGTCCCATGATCAAGCCTTGTGATACCTTGGGGTGTTAGGAATCTGGAGGCTTGGTGTGCTTGGCTGCTTGTGCCTGCGGGGAGTGTAGCCGAACCTTAAGTCCAGTCTAACCCGGGGAGGGGGATTGGGAGAGATTTGGGAATCCGTAGATGGATGGCTAACACTCCGTTGCTCGTGCAGTAAGTAGTTGAAACCAAGTAGGAGCTGGCACCATAGGCGAGAACCTTGGCGAGGGAACTTAGCACAAGCCAAGGCGGAGTTGGTCGGATAGGCGAGGTAAGCTGGCAAATTGGAAAGGAAAAATTTGTGGCTTACAATTTGGTATCGGAGCCTTCTCCTCAGTTCTAGCGAAGGATAGAGGCGGATTGCTGGGAGATGGCAAGGGCAGGGCGTAAGCGAACCCAGGCGGAGACAGAACCTCCGCCAGAGCTGGAGCCTCCGGTCGAACAAGAGGCTATGGATGAGGAATCCTTGCATGAGGAGGACTCTAGTGAGGAAACTTCCAAACAGGAGTCCGGTGGCGAGGTTCGGTCGTCCAAGGCTCGATTGGACGTTCTAGAAGGTCAATTGGCGCAGACCAATGCCCTGCTGGAGACTCTCGTACGCAAGCTAAAGCGTGACGAGAAACGGAAGAAAAGGCGAAAGACTGCGGATGCTGGCAGCGCAGAAGGTGCGGACCCTTCGGCAGGGACTGAGGCAAAACCAGACAAGGTCGAACAGACCGAAGTGGAATCAGTCCCTCAGGCAGTTCCCAAGTACAAACCAAAGCCCCCACCGGTGTTCAAGGGAGTGAACGACTATAAGGTTGTGGAGGATTGGTTTTACGATATGGAGGACTACTTCCGAGCGTTACGGTTACCGAGCTCGGAGAAGGTCCCATGTGCAAAACCATACTTGGCAGATAATGCCAAGTCTTGGTGGAGAACAACGGAGGCCAACGAAGGACCGGTGGCCACCTGGGACATGATGAAGGCGAGGATCCGCGCGACATACGTTCCTCCGAATGCCACTCTGCATCTGAGAGATGAGCTGAGTAGGCTGAAGCAGACTGGAACCATCCAGGAATATGTGAATGGGTTCATGGCAAAGAGGATACTTGTCACGGACATGGGGGATATGGATGCGTTCCATGCCTTTATATCAGGTTTGCAAACCTGGGCTCGCGGTGAGGTGATGCGCTGGAACCCGACCAACTACAAGGAAGCGTTGGATGCGGCCATCAAGGTGCATTTCAACGATAACCTGCGAAAGGGGAACACGACGGGGTCGGGATCCACGTTTCACAAAGGGGCCAAACCGAGGGGAACATATAGCAGGGGGAAATTCAGGAAGAGTTTCTCTAAGAATGAGTCCTCGGGATTTCGGAAAGGCAAATCCGGTGGCCAGCGAGCAAGTACGTGGGGGAGTCAAGCGAAAAGAGACAAACCCACGGATAAGAAGGTCAAGTCATATAGCAGCGTGGGAAACAACGTATGCTATAACTGCGGTGAAGCGGGACACTTTTCGAGGGAATGTCCCTACCCGAAGAAGGCCAGAGCCAATATGGCCATCAAGTCGGGCGAAGTCCAAAATGAGGTATGTGATCCAGTCCCTAACTCAAAGTTACTCATTACACGAGCAACTTTGGTAGAGAGTCGTTCGCGACATCTACTAGCCCTCCGAGGGAAGCTCGGAGGTAGCTTTGTTAAGATCCTTATTGACACGGGTGCTTCGGATAATTTTGTGGCTGCAGACATAGTCCGGCAAGCCGGACTAACGGTGCAGCGGCTAGGCGAACCAAGGACTATAGAGTTTGTTCAAGGTAGCCAAAGCACCGATGAGGTACTTCGACAAGCGAAAGTCGAAGTAGGGACATGGAAGGTAGACATGGATTTCACCGTGTTGGACATGGCGGGATTTGACGTGATCTTCGGAATGGATTGGTTCAATCGGTTCGTGGTAGCCCTACATGGACAAGGTAGGAACCTTGTGGTACTGGCGAATGCCCAAGGAAGAAGATCTAGGGTGGAAGCCCAGGATCTAAAGGTAGGGCAAAGCAAGGCCAAAGAATCCTGCTTAAACCTGGTGTCCACGAGAGGACAACTCACTAAAGGAACTAAGGCAGCCTTTTTGTGCTTACTCTCGGTGAAGAGTGACAAAAAGACAAGAACGGAAGAAGTGCCTTTAGTGATCCAGCGGGTGTTGGACCAATTCCAGGATACCATGCCGGAGGAGCTACCGGCGGGGCTGCCCCCAGCACGACCAATAGAACATAAGATTGAGCTGGTCGAGGGTGCTGAGGCAGTGGTTCGTCCCCCTTATCGTTTGAACGAAAAAGAACTCAAGGAGCTCAAGTGCCAACTAGAGGAGTTGGTGGACAAAGGGTATGTTAGGTTGAGCAAGTCGCCGTATGGGGCGCCCGTGTTATTTGTGAAAAAGAAAGATGGATCTATGCGCATGTGCATAGACTACCG